TCTCAACAGGTGAATTACACAGCCAAAGTCCCAGATGCGAGTTCAAACCCATACTCAGCGCTTTAAACTTTTGTCACCCATAATAACTAAAAGTTAATGAATGTGACATCTTAATTAACAAAAAGACATCCTCATAACAGTACAAATGGATATTTTTGGGTTCATTATGTGTGTATTATTATCATATGTGTATAGCGCCAATGGAATAATAAAATTTAAATCCCATTTCCCCTCACCTCACCCCCAAGCCAACAACCAGTCTGGGATGACAGGACACTTGTATTAGTCTCCTTTTTGGAATATTAATGGACGGTATGCTAAGGCGTGTGATAGTGGTTTTTATCCTTCCTTCCCAGCGAACCATCACATTGTGGAACTCACTCTGGCATGATTATACTTCCCAGCGAACCATCACATTGTGGAGCTCACTCTGGCATGATTATACTTCCCAGCGAACCATCACATTGTGGAACTCACTCTGGCATGATTATACTTCCCAGCGAACCATCACATTGTGGAGCTCAGTCTGGCATGATTATACTTCCCAGCGAACCATCACATTGTGGAACTCACTCTGGCATGATTATACTTCCCAGCGAACCATCACTCATTGTGGATTATACTCAGCTCTTGCATGATTATACTTCCCAGCGAACCATCACATTGTGGAGCTCACTCTGGCATGATTATACTTCCCAGCGAACCATCATTGTGGAACTCAGTCTGGCATGATTATACTTCCCAGCGAACCATCACATTGTGGAACTCACTCTGGCATGATTATACTTCCCAGCGAACCATCACATTGTGGAACTCACTCTGGCACTGATTATACTTCCCAGCGAACCATCACATGTGGAGCTCTTCCCATTATACTCTGGCATGATTATACCCCAGCGAACCATCACATTGTGGAACTCACTCTGGCATGATTATACTCCCCAGAACCATCACATTGTGGAGCTCAGTCTGGCATGATTATACTTCCCAGCGAACCATCACATTGTGGAGCTCAGTCTGGCATGATTATACTTCCCAGCGAACCATCACATTGAGGAACTCACTCTGGCATGATTATACTCCCCAGCGAACCATCAAATTGTGGAACTCAGTCTGGCATGATTATACTTCCCAGCGAACCATCACATTGTGGAACTCACTCTGGCATGATTATACTTCCCAGCGAACCATCACATTGTGGAGCTCAGTCTGGCATGATTATACTTCCCAGCGAACCATCACATTGTGGAACTCACTCTGGCATGATTATACTTCCCAGCGAACCATCACATTGTGGAACTCAGTCTGGCATGATTATACTTCCCAGCGAACCATCACATTGTGGAGCTCACTCTGGCATGATTATACTTCCCAGCGAACCATCACATTGTGAAACTCACTCTGGCATGATTATACTTCCCAGCGAACCATCACATTGTGGAACTCACTCTGGCATGATTATACTTCCCAGCGAACCATCACATTGTGAATCTCAGTCTGGCATGATTATACTTCCCAGCGAACCATCACATTGTGGAACTCACTCTGGCATGATTATACTTCCCAGCGAACCATCACATTGTGGAGCTCAGTCTGGCATGATTATACTTCCCAGCGAACCATCACATTGAGGAACTCACTCTGGCATGATTATACTCCCCAGCGAACCATCAAATTGTGGAACTCAGTCTGGCATGATTATACTTCCCAGCGAACCATCACATTGTGGAACTCACTCTGGCATGATTATACTTCCCAGCGAACCATCACATTGTGGAGCTCAGTCTGGCATGATTATACTTCCCAGCGAACCATCACATTGTGGAGCTCACTCTGGCATGATTATACTTCCCAGCGAACCATCACATTGTGGAGCTCAGTCTGGCATGATTATACTTCCCAGCGAACCATCACATTGTGGAACTCACTCTTGCATGATTATACTTCCCAGCGAACCATCACATTGTGGAACTCACTCTGGCATGATTAAACTTCTCTTGAAGCTGATATCCCCCAGCATGTGTGTTACGGTGTACCGGCAGTAAGACTAGCAGGAAGACTACATTTTAAAGCTCAGAGGAGTAAGCAGTAAAATGCTAAAATCAATCCATGCTCTCCATGCAAGTGTTAAATCATATACTAAATTTAATAATTTGCAAAATGTTTTGATTGTCCCGCTGGGTCTACGGCAAGGGTGTGTCTTAAGCCCTTTTCTTTTTCCATTGTTATCAATGAACTAGCTTATGAAATAGAAGCTTGTTGCGTACCAGGAATTCAGCTTATATCAGTTATGTCTTCTTATATTTGCTGATGATTTCTGATACAGTGTTTGGTTTACAGATAAGACTTATGTTCTAAAAGACCTTTGTCTTGAGAACTGTTTGACTGTAGATATGGAAAAGAACAAATGCAATAGTTTTCAGAAAGGTAGAAGGCTGTCTAAATATGAAAAATGGTTCTGTAATGGTGTACAAATTGATCCTTGTCTCACCATGGAGCAACATGTGAACCATCTCTGTAGAGTAGGCTACTTCCATCTCCACTCTATTGGTAACATCCGCCATCTTGTAACCACAGATGCTGCTAAAGTTCTCACTCAGTCACTTGTTCTCTCCAGGATTGACTATTGCAATAGCCTACTGTTTGGAATCTCCAATGATCTTCTCTTCAGACTTCAAAAACTTCAGAATGCTGCCGCCAGAGTTGTCACTAAAACATCCAAATGGACTCACATAACCCCAATCCTCCAGAGTCTGCATTGGCTGCCGGTTGAAGCAAGAATTCATTTCAAGATCTGCACTCTTGTTTTCCGCTGCAAACACGGCCTAGCTCCTCCATACCTCTCTGAGATGTTGTCAACATATATGCCTGCCCGTTCTCTCCGCTCTCAGAATCAACATCTTCTCTCAGTTCCCCAAGTTCGTCTCAAACACTTTGGCCATAGGTCATTCAAATTTGCAGCACCAACCCTATGGAACATTCTTCCTACTCCATAAATAGAATGTGTTTCCTCGTATAAATATCTAGGTATGTTATTCAGTAGGTCGTTAGTATGGACCAAGCACATAGAAAATGTATGTCTTCAGGCTAAGCAAGTTCTATTTGATATATTTAGATCAATGTCAACGTTTAACGTTTATCATCAAAAGGTCTACCAAATACTGGTGTAAAATATTGAAAATATCAAATGAACGTTATGTAAAGAAATGTTATAATATGTTTGTACAAATGGAAAGTAATGGATGTAAGAGCTGGGCATCTAGGATAAAGCATACATTACAAGTCTATGGATTCGGATTTGTGTGGCAAGAAAAGATGGTTCGAAATGAAACGTTTTATTTAGCTGAATCTTTAGGTAGACTCAAAGTTTCCTATCAACAGGACTGCCATTCTGCACTAGTAAAGGGCACAAACACATTTCAATATTTGTTGTTTAAACCTATTTTCGATGTTGAATCATACATCCTCACAGTCACCTATTTTAAACATAAACGTCTTCTTGCTCAATTTAGATTGGGCTCTCATAAACTACAAATAGAAACAGGCAGGTATATTGGAGAGGCTATAAATGACAGATTATGTAATATTTGCAAACGGTGATATATAGAAGATGAATATCACTTCTTACTTACCGTATTTGTAATAAATATTTAGAACAATGCAACGTTTGTACATTCCTTTACAATTTTATGAATATCCAACAATCCACAAGTTTAATATGCTAATGCAAGCATCAAATGCAAGCATCTTAAAACATTTATCAGTATATACATATCAAGCTATGTTACTAAAGGGTGACTATTGAGGGGGAAACAACGATTGCGATAGCGATAGTCTATTGCAACATACTATAGCGATAGAGATAGTCTATTGCAACATACTTTTACAATACTATTCCATTTTGTGAAATGTCAAGAGAAAATGAATATTAAACAGATAGAGTTAGGAGAATAACATATCTTAGTACTAACGTACCTGATACAGCAAAATACAACAAACAATAATTGTTCATTTTAACCAAATTTATTGACATGTGTTGATTGAACTAAATCCCTCCCGATTGATAAACCTCGCAGCCTCGAGTCCACTCTTGGTTGCAATAGATATATGAGTACAATCAATAGCCCCTATTACATTTGGTAATTGAGCAATATTGTGAAAAAACAACCATCACTTGTCTCTTTCTATCTCGTGATGGAATCTGAATAAACCTTGGACGCAACTCGTTGGACGCATAAAACCTCAATGCAACATTTAAAATATTGTTCAGACGCGGAAAGGGAATGGCTTCTGTGGGAAGCGGGATGATAAAACGTACACTTTGTTTGTTGATTCTGTAACGTATGTGGAATTCTCTGTCATCAAAACATTCAAAAGGATTTGACGATCTTTAAAGACTCGCTCTCTGTACAAACCTGGACGTGCAGCTCTAATGTTACGGAGCAGCATCAGATGATGGCCAGGCATGACTACATCTTAAGACATTTTATAAAGGAGATGAGTAGTGATATCTGTCAAATTCCAGCTGATCTTTTGGTACTTAATTTACAATAATGTCCAAAACAAACTCTACCACAAAAGTGATTTAAAAGATCAGCTGAACCTGGGTCTTCAACTAGAACTTACCGAATTCTTTTAAGTTAATGATAGAAGGTCACACTTTTTGTCTTTGTTTTGGAAACACCTTCTTTGAACTTACGGTTCATTTGACTGACTGACTGAGTTTAGTTTTACGCCGCGTTTAGCAATATTCCTGCAATATCACGGCGGGGGACACCAGAAATGGGCTTAACACATTGTGCCCATGTGGGGAATCGAACCCGGGTCTTCGGCGTGACGAGCCAACGCTTTAACCACTAGGCTACCCCACCGCCCCCGGTCCATTTGAAGCTGCAAGCCTGCACCCAAACAATAAAAAGATACCAATCAACATAAATATTTGTCACCAAAGTCAATTACTAAACTATCGATAGTCGCACATACTGTCGATGCATTGATAGTTTTTCGATTGTTACTGAGACAGTCTTTATAATAACAAACTCACTCACTCTGTAATTCTCGATGTGTGACATGGGCATATGGCCTATATTACTTTTGGAAATAATCTACTGACCCAGACAGCATACATAGCAATGCAATCAGACATTGTTCTAGCCTCACGTTCTCCTTTGTTGAGCATATACAATTAGGTGATTTCATTCACCGTCATCATTTCACATATACTTACTTCTTCAGCGTGTGAGCTGTCCAGTAAATATTAAGCCCAGAACAAGATAATACACAAAACGTAGACTGCATACATGAAAACTTGGCGGTACCGAGAGTAGTAATGACCTAATGCGGACATTCTCAATGAGTGAGTGAGTTTAGATTTTAAGTCACACCGGCAGTATTTTAGTTATATCGTGACTGAACCAACTTATACATTCATAATACATTAAACACATACATAAACAATAAAAGCCATCGAGGGGTAAATTTCAAAACATGTTTCAAGAAATTTCTTTGTGTGTCAAAACATTACAAGAAGGAAAATCATAATCCCGAAGGAAAACATATTGATGCTATGACGTAATACCTCCTTGCTTCAAATTATGCATAACTCAACATTGACGAAAGGAAGGCTTCAAGGACCACAGGACAAGAATAGATTTACACTATGGAAAGTGCATGATAATGTGACCGTCTTTTCATCCAGTGCAAACTAAGGTACAAATTGAGACAGAACGGCCCTTGTGGACCTCTATGTATAAAAGCGACACTATCAAATGATGGTCACGTCCTCGTTCGTGAGATAACGTTTATTTAGTAATTAGCATCACCTGCAGACCGACACGCACTCAGTGTTCACACATGTCCTTGTGCTAACAACATCGCCCGCTAAGCGTTCCCATCCAGTACATAGCTCTGCTCCTGTAAGCAACATACAAAAAAGAACATCCCTTCTGTTTTATAACATTCGGATGGCTTACTCAGCCACTCAAAATCTCGTCCCTTTGGGCAATGCTTGCAGTGTCGTGTTCGATGCAAGTGCTAAAATCCCGGTTGCATACGCATCATCAATCCATATTGACTTTATGTGAGCTGAAGTGTCGTATAGCATCTTGATAACGGGCAGCGTTGTTATGTAGGCAAACCCCCCACAATATGGGGGGTACGAATGGAAGGGGTACTCCTTCTTAGACATGTTCCACTTTCCTTTCTTCTGCCTTTTGCTATGCACGATAAGGAAGCACAGTATATTTCCATCAGGGACAGGGTTCGACAACAGGTACCTCAACACGTTGTTTGTATGTAAAACGACATCATCGTCCATTTTGATAACATATCGCACATGTTTACAATATGTGAGAACCCAGTGGTAACCCATCATGTGCTTGTGGGTCAGGTTGTGGTAAGAATCTATGAAATTCCCTTGTACAATGTCTCGATATTCCTTCGATTCTCTTTTAACTTCTGCCTGTAGTGACGCATTGATAGTTTGTCCCACAAAGAAAACAACAGTCAATAATGACCCATGTTCAGAGGATCCCCTGAGGGTCTGTCTAATCTTCTGACGCTTTTTGACATGGTACATAGCAGTATGGACTATCGCCACCACAGAGAGCCTGCCCCTACAGTTTTGGGAGTTAATTGAGAATTTGTACTGATGTAAATTATCCAAAACATCAGCATCTTCAGTGTCTTTAAGGCTTAAATATCGCACGACTTCATTGCTTGAAGAAATTTGGGGTGCGACATTGTCTCCTCGTGTATCCGTCTCAAACTCAAAGCGACTTCTCAGCCAATACATGACACACACTAAGCAGATTGCTGGTACCAACCGCCATGTCTTCGCCCTGGACCTCCCCGGACAGCGGATAATACTAAGCATTCTGAAACAACAATAAAGTTTCAGCACATACTGCATTCAAATAGTAGAGATATTCAATAAGTGAGTGAGTTACAATAAGAGACTTTCAGCCATACCATGACCAGAAACGTTTCTCATAGATAATACATACATGTTGTTATTATAACACCCAGTCATCAAAGAACTGTTAAATTACTAGGCACACAAATGTTGTTTAAAACGTGTATGTAACCATAAAAATATATCATTATATTTAACAATACAATATAAAAGCGGGCTATCGATCGCCAGCAACTGAACGGAGATCACCTTACTATGGACCAAGGACATAGGGTGCAATGAGTGAAGATGTTTCATAATACAGATCATCATAGATTGAATTAAACAGACATTTGCATGCAGGGTTGGACCCATCGGCATACAGTTTTGTAACATACTGCAAAGAGAGTTTTGTGTGGACTTGGTTAAGAGAAGGCTCTTCTGCTCCAACGTAAGGACTGCTAATAGAACGCAAAGTATTGGACCTTTGTGGTCAACAGAATCAAGTATCTACGATCAATCTACGATATAGCAGTGATTAAGTTGTGAGCGGGTCGGTGATCTATTCAGGTGCAGGAGACAAGATAGATATCCACCTCACTTTGAATCGGAAACAACTTTTAACATATTGTGTGCCTTCAAGCATTCAAGGAATTTAATATGTGGCAAAAACGTGAAATGGGAGTAAAAACTAGAACCTAAGAACTTCCTTTACAACTCTGATGGGGGTGCCATTTGAAAACAGCTCTGGGTCCTTATGTGGTCTATATTTTCTGCAAAGATGTGTACAATTAGATTTAGAAAAATGATGTATCGTGAACTTGATAAAGGGCAGTACGTAGATTATGACATGAAAATAATTCACTATAATCTTCACCATAGTATGACCTGAAATCTATTTTTTTCTTCTCCTGTTGATAATTTGTTTTCATAATTTGATGATTTGGGTACAGTTTTGCCAGGTTTGTTTACTATGTCAACTTTATCAGTTGATAACTTCAAGTTGTCACCATCCTTCAGATGGTGAAAATGCGAAATTTTGACTTGATCTATTTTTCTGCTTTCTTCCTTTAATTGTTGAACCATGATTTACGAATATGTGGAGTTGCAGAGGACTTTGGTATTGTTTGGACAGCAATGTCATTAAATATATCCGAAAACAACTGTATAGGATCTTCAGTGTTCCTGAAAATGTCATGTTTTAAGCGATCAGTGCATATTGTCTCATATAATGACCAGTCAGCCTTGTTGAAGGTCCTTCTTGATACAGGTGGGATCACCAGGGATCAAAGTGCTGACTTAGGCAATCATGGATCATACAGTCAAATTAATTACCCAAGGGGAATTGATGAGTGCTAGATCGAAAGCAGAATATGTTCCAATGGCTGGATGTAAATAAATCGAATATCATTATATATACATATTATGTTATTTTCTGAAATAATTTCCTCAAGGATTTTACCTTTTTTATTAGTATTTGCACTTCCCCAAAGGGGTTCTGTCTGTTGAGATCACCCATGATGATACACGGATTTGGAAGCTGATCATATAGAGTTTGAAGTTCCTACAGTCAAATGTCAGAGAAAGGAGGCATATACAAGATGCACAGGGGTTAACGCAATGTGCAGAAGCAGACGAACAGCAACGGTTTGAAGATTTGTATTCAGGCAGACGGGGCTATAAATCATACCCTGTCGTCCTAAAATGGAAGCACCTCCTGTTGCTTATCTACCGGATAAACATAGTTTGGCTTCAGGTCCTTGTCATGCATGATGTCAACCGCCATTGTTACAAGACGTTGGGTATAGATGCAAGCAACGGTATTGTAAATGTACGCTTCAAAGATACCAACATGCAAACCAGTATACAGTTGCCCTAGTTGTCTGCAGCTTATATTTGCATTGAGTCAAATTGTCTTTACTATTGATCTCGCGGCTTTCTTGGTAATAACCCAAGCAGAAAACTGTCACTAATTAAAGTATTTGAATACACAATGGCTTTTAGAACATGCCCAGTGATTGGTGATGATAACCGGGCTCTGATCTCTGATGAGAATAGTGCTGCTTTACAGGGACGGAAGGTTTTTATGGGCATTTACAGTAATTTAAAGAAATTGGGCAATGTAAATTTCAAAACATATTTCAAAATATTTGATACAAAAATTAAACCAATTTTGCTATATGGGGCAGAGGTTTGGGGGTTTTCTCGGTTGGAAGCATTGGAAAAGGTTCACTTGTACGCGTGTAAAAAAGTCTTAGGAGTTAAATTAAATACCCCAAATGTGATGATCTATGGTGAATGCGGTCGCTTCCCACTTTATCTAGAAGCACAGATAAAAGTTATCAAATACTGGGTAAAGCTCTTGAATATGCCTGCATCAAGATTTCCTAAGAAATGTTATAACATGATGTATTTGTTTGACACCAACGGTAAATCAAATTGGGTAACGAATGTTAGAAATTTACTAAATCATTGTGGTTTTAGTGATGTATTTTTGTCACAAAAGATTACCAGCCCGAAGTCATTTTATAATGCTTTATCGCAAAGATTAAAAGATATGTACATCCAGACCTGGAACTCATCTTTAATACAGTCGCCAAAATCCACTTTTTACAGTACTTTTAAATCTTTTTTCCATACAGAGCAATACCTACACGATATCAATCTTAGAAAATTCCATGTTTCATTATCCAGATTTAGATGCTCTTCACATGATCTTATGATCGAGAAGGGCAGATATTATAATATTCCAAGAGATAACAGATTTTGCAAATTTTGTGCACTAAATGTAATTGAAGATGAATTCCACTTTTTGCTGGTATGTCCTTACTATGCTGATTTAAGGACAAAATATCTACCACAATATTACTATTCACATCCTACCATGTTTAAATTTAATTTGATAATGAACTCTAATAATACAACTTATATTCGTAAACTTGGTATGTATATCCACCATGCTTTTGAACAAAGAAAATAACGTTTGCAAACATTGTGATTGTATGCCATTATTGTTTTTATATTTTGTACTATAGGCCTGTGGCCTCTTCAGTAATGAAATAAAGAGATTTGACCTGGGGTAGCTGTTGCCATATTTCCATATGTCACGCAGATGTTTACATAATATATAAAATCTTCTGTATCACATATAAAACATCTGCCCGGCCTTTACAGGCCTACGAGACACATAAAACCCATAAAACAATGCATAGATAAAATCTATCCCTATACACACATAGTAAAATTTAGAGATAAGATGGATGGTGTAATATCATATGTTATAATAATTTTCTTCTTTTAAACATAAGTAACACTGAAGCAGCTAAGAAATATACTAGGTTATCTCATTCCATAATAAAAATAGTCGACAGGAGTCATCAAGCTAAACAGAGGGTTAAGAGAGCGTGCCTTTTGCCATAAAACGGACCTTATATCGGAATATATATTACATTTCGATAGAAAATAGACCTCGTCTTCAACTGCTCTATTCTTACAATATTTACATAGTCGTTGTTCAAGAGGGGTTTTAGGCCGTGAGAAACGACCAAGTTCAATCTCCAGAGGTAAAGTTCCACATCGTAGTTTGGCCAAGATACTTCGTTGAGAACTATTGAAAATAGTGTGGGCATTTGTTGATACTGATAAAGAGGTCTTAAACAGCCGGAACGTTCGTAGTTTGTTGCCGTTACAACAGCCAGTATCATCCCATAGTTGTGAATACCAGTTACAATAATCAATATCAAACAACTTCTCTTTTATGAAAATGAAATCCATTGGTGAAATACGCAGCTTGTCAACAAGAGGTAAATGCAAAGAGATCAATAATTGTAAAACTTTGTTATCCCATGACTTACGGAAGGACAATGACCAGTTGTGAATATTGCTTATAATACTATTGATCTTAAAATATTGTAGGCGCTTCCAATAACGGACAGATTCAATACGATGTTTTGTGAGGTTAGAAAACCAACCCATCTCGCCTCTTACGGCTAAGTTCGGGGTATTACGACCTACACCCAAAAAGAAACGACATGCCCTATTTTGGATAGCATTTATACAACTGAATTCACGTGACCCCCAAACAGCAGAGCCATACGACAGTATTGGCTGAACTAAGTTATCATAAAGTTTGTTAAACACATCATAATGCATCCCACCGACTGCTTTGAATTTACTAATTAAAATACCCAGTGCTCTTCCAGCAGACTTAGCGATTTCCTTTGCAGTGAAATTAAGATCAAGGTGTTCCTGTAACCACAGTCCTAGATATTTATAGGCGTTACATACATCGATGTCGTCGTTGCCACAAGAAAATCTGAACTCCGTTCTTGCCATAGAAACAGGTCTATAATGAACTATTTTGGTCTTCAAAGCATTAATCTGCAAACGCCATGTTCTGCACCATTGACTGACACAGTCTAACATAGACTGTAAAGAATTTTCGTCTCCTGCAATGAGCGCAATCAATATCATCTGCGTAAAGAAGAACACTAAGCATGAAATGCTCTCTCTCTCTCTCTCTCTCTCTCTCTCTCTCTCTCTCTCTCTCTCTCTCTCTCTCTCTCTCTCTCTCTCTCTCTCTCTCTCTCTCTCTCTCTCTCTCTCTCTCTCTCTCTCTCTCACCAATATAAGTTTTATTTCATTCAATTTGTTAATACCTACTTGGGTGTCCCACTTCTTTTGCATCAGATCACGGATGTAAGTTCTAATGCTAGCTTTGTAATCAGAGTATGGAATAAGAAGTGGTGTCACAGATTTATTGAGTGCTGCCTTAGCAGCAAGATCAGCCATTGTATTCCCAGAAATGCCAACGTGGCTAGGTAACCAACAAAAGACGACGTCGCATTGGCCAGTAGCAAGCTCATTATACACTTCAATAATTTCTATCAAAAGTGGATGTATACAAGACTAAATTCTTGTTTATACTGTAGATCATTAGTTTCGGATTTTTTTAAATGTGGTTAATGTTAAGTCAACGACTGG